TGAATAGGCTATTCCTGTTGACATTTGGGGTTTCGGGTGTAGCGTTTAGGGGTTTGGGTGTAGCGTTTAGAGTTTTGGGTGTTGCGTTTAGGGTGTTGGGTCTAGCGTTTAGGGGTTTTGCGTATAGCGTTTTGGGGTTTGGGTGTAGCGTTTAGGGTGTTGGGTCGAGCGTTTAGGGTGTTGGGTCTTGGGTCTAGCGTTTACGGGTTTAGGGTGTCGCATTTAGGGCGTTGGGTGTAGCATTTAGGGTGTTGGGTGTAACGGTGTTGGGTGCAGCGCTTAGGGTGTTGGGTGTAGCATTTAGGGTTTTTGGTGTAGCGTGTAGTGTGTTGGGTGCAGGGTTTAGGGTTTTGGGTGTAGCGTTTAAGCTTTTGCGTGTAGCGTTTAGGGTGTTGGGTGTAGCGTTAAAGCTTTTGCGTGTAGCGTTTTGGGGTGTTGGGTGTAGCGTTTATAAGGTGTTGAGTGTAGCGTTTAGGGGGTTTTGGGTTTGGGGTGTGTAAACCCTACCCGGCCCTATCCACTCTCGAAAGGGCACCCGCTTTGGAGCAAGCCAGGCTCCGACACCCGAACCCTAAACCCAAAGCCCCTGAGCCCTAAACCCCCAAACCCTGAATTCGAAATCCGCCTGCCAAACCCGAAACCCTACATTCCCCAAACGCTCTAGGAGCGAACCCCAAGACACAAACCCCCAGAGACACCCCTGCGAAAACACCCACAAGGGGCCATTCCCTAAAAAAAACTCACCACATAAACTCCCGCAGTCTCTACTCTAATCCGAAATCTCACCCAAAAAAAATCTGAGCCCATCGGTTGAACCGTGGGAGTAGGATGTCTACTGCCAGGACCACCAAATACGGTCATCCCCAACTTCTACACAAGCCTCATACATACCCGTGCAAGACCCCCTAAACCCTAAACCCTAAACCCTAAACCCTAAACCCTAAACCCTAAACCCCTAAACCCCTAAACCCCTAAACCCTAAACCCTAAACCCTCAACGCCCCTAGGACACAGCCCGTACAAGGAGACATCAGGCTAAAAGCTGGGAGAAGCCCCGCCCTTCCGCCCTAAACCCTACCTGTAGCCCAAAAGACCTGGCCTTTTGAATGAATGATGTATGGGAGTTTCCGAAAACAAGTGGTACCTTGCCTTGGAGCTCTTACAAGAAGGATCCTACTATCTAGGGTGTTATCTTAGGGCCCCCTATTTTGGGAAACCCCCATAGAGAAACCCCTAAACCCTAAACCCTAAACCCTAAACCTTCTTAAGGAACCCTCAAAAGGTAGGCCTTCTCGGCTGCAGGAAAGCCCTGACCCAGCTCCTTCCGAGTTTCCATAGCCAGGGTGTGCCAGCCCTGGCGGTGCCCGAAACCTCGCAGAGGGTTTAGGGGGGTTTAGGGTTTAGGGTTTAGGGGTTTAGGGGTTTAGGGTTTAGGGTTTAGGGTTTAGGGAGCAGGGGCAAATTAAAGGATCATGGGAGTCAGTAGCTATATCCCTTACCCTCACGAAGGACCCATATTTTAAGACCCCAGCAAAGACGGCTTTTGAGCGAGTTTGGTGCCAAAGGTATAAGATTGTTATGGAGGTAACTATACTTAGGTTAACCCAACTTAGGTACTTATAGCCTTACTTACTAAGTCCCATGAACAAGCACGAAAACCTTGATTTGAGGAGTCGTCACAGAGGGTGTGGGATTTGGGGTTCAAGCTATAGGGTTTGGTCCCTGGCTCAGAGATCCTCACCGAGGGATCCTCCTATTCAAGACGCTTGTTTGGGGGTGTTTTAGGCTTTGCAGGTTCGTGTATAGCAGAAGCCAGAAAGTTGGAACATAGGTTTAGGAGGATTAGTGCTAGAATCCCGTATACTTTACCAAAAGGGCATGGGGATCATCATGTTCCAACTTTCTGGCTTCTACTATAGGGTCTAGGGGTCTAAAGCCCTAAACACTAAAGGTTCGGGTTGCGATAGGTTTGAGGTATAGGTAGTATGCCTGTGGGGGATGACGGTTCGGGCTTGGGCTCGAGGGCTTGGGGTTTGGGGTTTAGGAGTTTACTGTTTAGGGTTGAGGGTTTAGGGTAATTCCCTGGCCTTAACAATACATCTGTCTGCTTGGCTTTGCAGGGCCGTTTTGGTTTATTGCGCACACACACACACGCACACATGCCATACACACACAATCTGGAGCCAGTTCAGGCCATGCAGCGGCATCAGCGGCAAAAACGCGCCGGGAAGAGTCATAATGCTGGCAAAGGCCTCTGCAAATCCAAGTCTCTGAGACGAGCCCGGGCTGCAGCAGAGCGATGTGAGTTCTTGTTACTAGCATCCCCTTGATACCACCCTATATATGGTTGTCCGCTTTCCCCCTTGCGGGGAGGCCCGAGCTTGAGAGAGAGAGAGACAGAGAGAGAGAGAGAGAGAGAAGGGGGCACGGGAACTCCGAAGCCCCAGACCCCAGCCGTTCCAGAGGTGGAGGGAAGGGTTTCGGGTTTTGGGTTTAGGCTGTAGAGTTTAGGGCTTAGGGCTTAGGGGCTTAGGGTCTAAACCCAGGGTTTAGGGTTTAGGGTTAGGGTTTAGGGGCATGATCACATGCACAACCTTTGCTTGAAGGCCTAAGCCAAACCACCCAACCATTCGACATGCAAGGTCAAGGCCCATGGGGGGAGCCTACACCCTAAACCCTAAACCCTAGGAGAGGGGGGGAGAGGGAGGGGGCCGCTGGGGCGCAACCATAAATGAACTCACCAACAATCACCAATACTCAGATTCATCCCTGTACACAATAGGGCCTATAGGGCTGTTTTTGTAAGGTTTAGGGTTTAGGGTTTAGGGTTTAAGGTTTAGGGTTTAGGGCGCAGTAGGGCTTATAGGGTTAAGGGTTCAGGGTTTTGGCTTCAAACTTCGCTGAACATCTGCCCTGGAGCTCGGGCGAGCTTTCTGACAGCCTTCCTTGAGGGGTTCCCGTAAGAAGGGAACTAAACAAAGAGATGGTGCAAGAAGGTTGAAGTTTAAGCTTCAGTGTTGCACGAACATGAAAGTTTAAAGTTTAGGGTTTAGGGTTTAGGCCTTAGGTATAGAGGTTCAGGATTTAGGTATAGATGTTTCGAGACTCATGCAAGGCCAATACGTATATATGGACTACTGTATTAACTATCAAGGAGATTCTGCTACCAATTATTCCGACCTCTATGGCAAGGAGATCAAACAAAACCTGAAGCCCAAATTCCGAAACATCACAATCTAAACCCTAATATCTTGACCCAAAGCACTTGGCCCGGCTAGCAGCCTCCGAATGCAAGCACAAGCACATGGTCGGGGCTCGTCTAGATCAGGATTACGTTTCGGCAACTTTTTGGGTTTAGGGTTTAGGGCTTAGGTTTAGGAAACCCGTGCATGAACGGTTTATGGTTTAATAAGGTTCAACTTTTCGAAGCCTTCCCATGAACGCCTCTTCAGCGTTATACGCCCCCTGCCCTGCAGTTGTGCAGCGAGGGGGCCGGGACTGAAATGAGTCTGCCGGAGACAGCTGTACACTACGGCTGTTGACATCTTGAAGCCCGAAGCCCTCAACCTAAACCCTAAACCCTAAACCCTAGAACCCTTAAACACCAAAACCCCAAAGCCGTAAAATACTAAAACCCCCCTTCAAATCCCCCCAAACCCTCAAAACCCTAAACCCTAAACCCTAAATCCTAAAACCCTAAGGAAGAAATACGTATAAATGCTTTCTTGCGAGGTTGGGCTCGAAAGCTTCACGGTTTAAGGTTTAGGGTTTAGGGTTTAGGGTTACAGTTTTCAAGGTACCCATAACCCAAGATGAGGGTTCTACAAGGAGTCTTTAAGCGTTCTATAAGTCTATAAGGGTATTTGAGGTTTCTGTGGACTTTTTTGAGGTTGGGTTTAGTAGGTTAGGGGTTTGGGGATTAGGGGGGGTCAGGGGTTAAGGGTTCAAAACTCCAAACCCCAAACCCCGAACCTTGAGCCCTACGCCTCAAGCCCCTAAAACCCTAAGCTAAGCCCCTAAACCCTTAAACCCCCAGACCCCAAACCCTAAACCACTATCGCTCCAAAGACTAAACCCTAAAGGCCCTAAACCCTAACCCCGAAGCCCCAAACCCTAAACCCTATAAAAGCTCTAAACCCTAACCCATAAACCCTAAACAGTAAACCCTTATAAAGGCTCCAAACCCTAACCCCTAAACCCTAAACCCTAAACCCTATGAAGGCCCTAACCCCAAAGCCCTAAACCCTAAACCCTACAAAGGCTCTAACCCCCAACCCATAAACCCTAAACCCTAAACCCTATGAAGGCCCTAACCCCCAACCCATAAACCCTAAACCCTAAACCCTTATAAAGGCCCTAACCCCTAAACCCTAAACCCTAAACCCTATAAAGGCTCTAATTAACCTTATAAAGGCCCTAAACCCCAAACCCTATAAAGGCTCTAACCCCTAAGCCCTAAAACCCCAAAGGCGCTAAAACCCTTCAGTGTCCAGGGGCTCAGGCTTCAGCGTGGTGCAAGCAAAAACCAGAGAACCCAATACCCCTTAATTAAGGGTTTAGGGTTTAGGGTTTAGGGTTTAGGGTAATCATAATACTAAGGCCCCTATAGTTTAAGGTATATTCCTTAATTAAGGAGTATTGGGATCTCTGGGAAACCCCGCCGAGATCCCAGAAGAGCCGCTGTGGAGCCATCGAGGTCATGGGCCCACAGCTGCTTCAAAAATGGCTGCCGGGGTGTCCGACTTCGGTCCCACGGTTCTTCTCCAAGTTTGTGGGCTCCCTTCTCACTGCTGTTACGAGTCTCGGGGGTTTCGAGTTTAGGAGTTAGAAGTCAAGCTCTAGGGCTTTGATGGGCTTGGGGCTTACGGCCAAGGGTTCGCAGAGTTGTTTTGTCGGGACGAGACGGGCCAAAAGGTCGGAATTAGGGTTTGGGGAGTAGTTCGGGGTTTGCGGGTTCGGGCCGCTTGCCTTGAAAGTAGGCTCCAAAGAACCGAAACCCTGAAGTCGGATCCTACCGCTATATCCCGAAACCCTAAGCATAGTATCTTGTTTCAAGTTTTCGGTCTTGGAATATCGTCTAAACTACTTCGGGGCTTCCAAACCCTTGTTTGGGGGTCAGTGAAGTAGGAGCCTTAATGATTAGAATAGAGTTTTGGTGTCCTTTATGGTATAATCACAAGAAGGAAACCCCTAAATAATATAGGTAACTACTAAGGCCCCTATATTCATGATCTCACAGTTGGCACCCTCATGGCGCGTTGAAAACAAAGCCATGTCTGCTTCTCGGCGGGTCGGAACCCGCAAAGTGCTGGACGAAGTCAGGGCTTGTCTATGCCCGATCTCCGAAAAGCCACTTCGAGATGTCACTACTAAACTCGGAGAGGGCGTGCCCTAGACTCTACTCCCAACCAATAAAACCCCTAAAATCGGCAGATCCATAAGTTACTTAATTAGGGTTTAAGGAAACTGCTGCTGCTCCTACTCATCGTCCTGTTCCGACGATGACGATGACGAAGACCACCACCACCACCGCCACCGCCACCGCCATCACAACTGCTACGAAAACTCCGCCTCCTAATGTAAAGGCCTTAATAACTACCTATACTATTTTGGGGGGTTCCTTGTTATATTTATAGCAAAACATCCCCCAAAACCCTACTCTAATCAGTAAATAAAACCCCATACATTAGTCCCTACTTGCGAGAATTCCAAGTTTGCAACAGCACGAGTCTCTCCAGAGGTCAATCTTCCGGCCGGGTCTTCTTTTGGCAGGGTCCGCAGCAGAGGAGCCCGCGCACCCAATCCTGGCGGTAGAAGCCAAGGGTTTAGGGTTTAGGGTTTAGGGTTTAGGGGGAACCCAAAATCCTACCCTTTTTAAGGGTTCGAATCTCGAACTCAGGGGTCAGAACCTACGATTTTGTAGGGTTCGACCCTCTAACTTAGGGGTCATAACCTACTATTTTGTAGGGTTCGACCCTCTAACTAAGGGGGTCATAGCCTACTATTTTGTAGGGTTTGGGGTCACAGGTTAACCTTCAACACCGTCAGTCAAGCCCTGTGGACATTGAGCAGCTTCGGGTCCAACACAACCTCAACCACCCACATACTGATAGGGTTCAGGGTTTAAGGTTTAGGGTTTAGGGGCCCAAATACTGAAGTCGAAGCCTACACTTCAACAAATCTGAACGACTAAAGTCCCTGCAGACCCTAATCCCTCATCCCTCAACACTCACACCCACACACACACACACTCTCTCTCTGCCTCTCTCTCTCGCGCGCTCACCTCTCTCGATACTAAGAACATTGATTTTCGGACGATCCGTTTCTGTTAAGTAAGTTGTTGTCTCCAGGGGCCTTGGAAAAGGGTGCGCAAGCTTGAAGTGCATGAGTGAACCCTCCAACATGCCCCAACGCTCACACATGGTTTTGGCCAGGTCATTAGCGGCTTGACTGCAATGTCTCGGCGAGACAGACGGGGTCTTGTTGTGTCGATGCTATAGAAGTCGGAATATTGCGTAACAGTATCCCCTGGACAGCCCTGTGTAGTTTTGCAATGTACTGCGAGTTCCACTCTCCAGGGGGCTCCCTTCCGCTTAAAACCCATTCCAAAGGCACATGGGTTTTGGATGAATGTAAGGCGGCTTCGCATGTTTCAGATATTTTAAACCGGTTGCGGTCGGGACTTTTCAGGGACTTGGATGATTTCAACGATTTAAGAGAAGCCATGCGAGTTTCTGGCTGAAGGGTTGGGGTGTAGAACAGAAATGTGAATGCACAAACTAGTAACTAGTAACTAGTTCCTCATTCCTAAGCCCTAAACCCGAGAAACCCGAAACCCCCCAGTTCACAAAAGCCTTACACTCCAAAGCCCTCACCCCGAACCTCAGTTCCAAAACCCGACACTTCCCTCAACCCGAGATTCTTCTGGCTATAGGGCAAAGGGTAAGGTTCGGAGGTCATGGCTAGGCTTCGGGCATGGAAGTTGTTTAGGATGTGACCACCCAGGAGGAGGTGACTTAAGCTTCTCGCCGTGTTGAAGACCGACGGCTTTGCATCGACGAGGTTGGAGACTGGTGAAATCTTTGAGCTGGGCGATATCCAGAATCACCGCTGCGCCGTATGACATGGCTTTCCGTTCCTCAGGTGAGAAAGCCACGGAAAACAAGCTTGCTCCTGCTGCTGCTATTGCTGACTACTACTACTACTACTACTACTACTACTACTACTACTACTACTGCTACTACTGCTATTACTACTACTCCTACTACTACTACTACTACTACTGCTGCTACTACTACTACTACTACTACTACTACTATAATCATAGTCAGAGGTTCTTAATCATACGCATAGTAGCAGTAAAGATAGCTCTACAACAAAAAATGCCACTCCTGTCTGACTACGACCGATAGACTGCATAGTAGTTCCTTTTTGGGATGACCTCATGGGATCCCAGATGTAAACCACAGAAAGGAACCCTAAACCCGAAACTACTATGATCATAATCATAGTAACAGTAAGATAGCTCTACGAATACATGCCACAACCCGGAACCCTAAACCCTAAACNNTAAACCCTAAACCCTACACCGAGCCTATGGGTAGAGCTGAGGTGTACTTGCAGGCCTATTCTTCGTGTCCACGGCCATGGTCCGTGATGATGCCAGGATCTCGAGCGTAGAAGGGGTTTAGGGGTTTAGGGGT